AGCGTTGTCGCATTTTTGCGGTGACGTTGGCGGGTGTCTATCTCCCCAGACCTGTAGAAGCAATGGATGTCATCGCAGAGGGCCTCCTCATCGTCACTGTCGTTTGCGGGGGGGCGCTCCAGAGCGGATCTACAAGACCCGCACTTGGAGCGACTCGCGACGCCTCCTGTGCCCTCTTCCTTACGCATTAATACTCACGGCCCTCAGACTCCAGCTCCCTTGTGGGCGCGAGCACCCAACGATGCTCGGGAGGAGCAGTTGCTGGTGGTGTCGGACGCCACTGGTGCCCCTGCCGCCTGTCCGAGGAAGGCAGGGACCACATCGTGCATCCGCGAGGCGCCACAGAGCTGTAGTTGCCCACCGGGCTGCCATTGACACCATGGATGAGTAGCCCCCGCCCCGGTCCATGCACGAGTGGTGGTGGGTAATGCAGAGCGCTATCTCCTCGTTGTCCGGTGTGGACGAGCTCGAGGAGACCACAACAAGCTTCTCCTAGTCGATGGAGTCAGAGTCACCGCCGGATCCGTTCTCGACCATGGACGAGGGGATGGGGTAGGCCAGAGAGAGGAAGGGGAGGAGATGGAAGTGAAATGGAGCAGAGAGGTTGAATAGGATTTGGTGGTCCGACTTTGGGTGTTTGTGGGAACATGATGGGGACGACGTGGGCCATAGTGGGCTGGTCCGACGTGGCAAACGCGTCCACGGCCACCTATGGGGCCATGAGCCCCTTGTGGTTCGGCGGGGGGGGGGGTGAGCACGTTGGACAAAGAGTGGAGAGCGCCGCGCAGCACGGTAGAGATCACACAAGAAGTTTTACCCAGGTTCGAGCCGCCGTGAGGTGTAAAATCCTACTCCTGCATTGGTGGATTGATGGTGGATTGTGGTGGAAACACAACGCTCTAGCCCAGCAGGGTCACCTCGGGGCGAGAGCAGCTACACGCGTACGAGTGTACAAGGGTCCGAATCCTTTCTATGGTTGCCATGGGCCTCCTTTTATAGATCATGGGGTCACCATAGTGGCAAATCAGTCATTGTGTACTGATTAGATAGCAAACAGTGCTATTATACCTAACTCTGCAGACAGGGCAGAGCGCATTAAATTCGCCGCTTAGTGTCACATGGCCTGCCCGGCAAGCCTTGTCGGGTTGTTCGGCCACCTTCTCTCATGTCTGCATGACACGTCGCTGGACATGTGTCATTTGAAGGTGATTTCCATAGGAAGTGGCTGCCATGTGGCAAGATATAGCCACTTAGTCACTTGGGGGCTTGACACCGCACTGATTGATGACTTGCATCGCTGCGAGGTGGTGCGGTGGAGCCTTGGCGGGGTAGTTTGTCTTCGTAGGGCCCGGCAGGCCTGCTGGGACGGTCTCGAGGCTTGCTTCCGGAGTAACCTTGACCTCGCCAGGCTTGCTTGCCCGACAAGGGAGGTTTTCCCTTAGTGGTGTCTTGCTCCTTTATCTTGACTTGATCTTCTTAATTTGCACTCTGATTCTTCAAAGAGTTGATCTCTTGTGCTTGGTCTGGTCCTGGATGTTGTAATCTTGCCAGGTTGGTGGCTTGCTGTCCCTGCACAAGTAAGGGGAAAACAGACGCCCCTGTTTGTGTACCCTGTCAGAAGCCCCCGGGCCTGAGCCATACGTGTCGTTGGGCACGTTGGGTTAGGCCCCAAACAGTGCACGGACACGTGTTGTGCATGCAGCGATTTTTCATGATAATCAGTCAATCCAACGTCCACTTCGCGTATTTACCGCGGGTCATGGGGTAGTGGGACTGTAGTAGTTAATGTGAAATGGCAACTTTCCGAAGAGTCACACCCTCCCCCACGTTCTTTCCTTAAGAAAGGAAAATGCGGAAGGGCACTGCTCATTCGTTGCCCGCTCCGCTCCTCCACCATCTTCTTTCGCAAGCCAAACAACCGCTCTTCCTCCCCACCCATACTCGTTGCTAATCCTCCATCCTACTTCCTTCCCCCATCCCCATCGCAACTTGAGGAGATGGGGAAGAAAGCCGCCGCCAAGGGAAGCAGACGACCACCGCAAAGGAGGCGGTCGCTGAGGGGAGCAAGAGGGCAACGGAGCTGGACAAGAGACAGAAGGGAGACATCATTTTCTTCTCGTCGAATCTGGACGGCGGGGTGCTGGAAGCAAGGTACGGATATCTGTGGTGGAGGGAAGTCCCGAAAGGGCATGGCGCACCCAAAGTCCTAGCGGAGGGGAAAGAGGACCCGCCAGATTCATATCGATTCTTCTGCGCGTATTTCATCTGCGGCCTCTGCCCTCCCTTCTCGGGTTTCTTTGAGGCAATGATGGTGATCTATGGATTCCATCTTCTGGATTTCACGCCAAATGCAATGGCGTGTATGGCAATTTCTCTTCTAAATCATGAATGAGGGTTGATCTGTCCTTGGTCTTGACCACAATATCATCCATGTAAGATTCAATGTTTCTGTGCAAACTGCAACTCAAAACCAATCTGGACTGCCCTTGCAGAAGTGGATCCGGCGCTCTTCAACCCGAAAGGCATCCGTACGAAGCATTATGTGCCACACAGGGTGATGAACGCGGTCTTCTCTTCATCTTCCTTGGACACAAAGATCTGATGGTATCCAGAGTACGCATCCCAAAAAGAGAGCAAGTCAGGGCCTCCCAATATCCGCCCCAGATATGGGCTGGATATGATGGGTGCCTGTTAGACGGGACGTATAGGGCCCATATGAGGGGTGCAGCTGGATCGAGTTTTTGTGACTGGTCACTAACCGGGTCTTCTGCTCAGACGTATAGGGAGTGTTTGGGGAGTCCGAGTGTAGATGCTCTAAGCAGTGGCTTGACTTGTTCAAGGGGAAGTAGAGAAGTGATTCCTTTGGACTTTGATGATACTTTTGTTGAGCTGTTTCATGATGTTAAATGAGTTGTTGAATTATTGCACTATGTCTCTTCATGTCACTTAATTAGGTTCACATCTATGTGCGAACTTGTGTCATGATGTTTGAAATGAAGTTCAAATCGTGTCATGAGTGTCATAATATTTGGAAGTTACCGTAGTTAACTCATACTATTTTGTTGATGAGTAGAACACATACTTATAGTTTTCGCAAAAAAACACATACTTATAGTTGAAACACTCTGAACATGACTGAACTCTTCTACCGACGATTTTTTGGCCGCCAGAGCTTACGTAAGAGGCTGGGAACCGGAGCAAGAGCATTGAACCATGGCAGGGCCGATGGCTCTCTAAGGCAGCCCGGACAGTGCTCATTAACTCATCCCTCTCCAGCTTGCTCCTATTCATTATGAGCTTCTATAGCCTGCCTAAGACTCTGCACCATGAGATTGCCACAGTCTAAGGGCGCTTCTTCTGGGCTGGCGAGGGCGATAAGCAGAAGTACCACATGGTTCCGTGGTCGGAGATCTGTAAACCTCGCGATGGGCGGACTCGGGATCATGTCCTCCAAACGCATGAACATTGCTCTCCTGACTAGGTGGCTTTGGAGGATTGCGAACGAAGAGGGTGGCTTGTGGCTTCGCATCATCCAGCAGAAATACCTCCGTGGTCAGCCACTCGCCTTCTGCCAGCGGTCCGATGGCTCCCAGTTCTGGCAATCCATCATACAACTCCTCCCAATCCTCGGCATCGGGACCTCGATTGCGGTTGGATCTGGCACCGCCACACTGTTCTGGTTCGATAGATGGGCTGGGGACACCCCCTTCGCAGCTCGCTTCCCTGACCTGTTCTCCATCGCGGTAGATCCGCGAATTTCTATCGCGGTGGCCCTTATTGACTTAATTAGGGCATCTCGCGTTCCGGAGACCATTTGGGCCGGCAGAGAATGCTACGTGGCAGGACCTGCTCGACTGCATTGCTTTGCACGAGCCGGATCCGGAGATAGAAGAGGACCGCACCAGGTGGCGGCTAGAGCCATCTGGGCAATTCTCCTCTAAATCTCTCTACCAGGCTATAGCCCCTTCGCCGGGTCCTGAGGCTCTCACCACCATCTTGGCAATCCGGCTCCCCATAAAGATTAGGATCTTCTTATGGCAATGGATTCGCGACTGCCTTCTGCCCGGCAGAGGTCCTGAAACGCAACGGCCCTAGTGATGGGCGGTGCCCGCTATGCGGGCCTGAAGAGGATACGAACCATATATTCTTCAACTGTGTGCCCGCGCAGTTCCTCTGGAGCTGTTTCCGCGAATTACTGGGTGGAAGCTGGGACCACAACAACTTTCCCGCTCTCTTCGCCGAACTTCAGGCGTTACCACCCGCGTCTCGTCACATTGGGTGGTTGACCATCGGTGTGCTAGCCTGGACGCTGTGGACTATTAGGAATAAGCTTGTGATTCAGCATGTCCCTCTTTGTCGCGCTACTAACGCTTTGTTCAAATGGTCTGGTTACTTGCAGCTTTGGCGGCCGCTTAGCCGCCCCAGGGAGATAGACGCCATCACCTCCATCATCACCCAGCTTCGCGCGATGGCTCTCCGGATGGCTCCTCCGCTTCCCCCACCACCACCAGAGCCGGATTAGATCTTCTCTACCTCGCCGCCACCACCGTTTATGTGTTGTGCGTGCTTCATTTCTGTGTTGGGCTTGTTGTGTTGTGCCCACAGCTGAACCTTGTGTATTGTTTGTGCGCGTATGTGTTGGACCTTGCCTGCGGTGGCGTTGTGTGTGTGTTGTTCGGATGGTACCATGTTGACTTTGTGCTTGGTGGTTTGTTTTATTTATAAAGCAGGACAAAAGCCTTTTTGAGTAACCGGAGCAAGAAGTAGAAGTTGAGAACATAGTCTAGTCAGTGAAACATTGAGTGGTTCCCATGAGATTTTTTGTGTCACGTCACAAAAAGATTTGTGCGGCAGCTGTTTACCAGGAAATGGAACACTGACGGAGACAACGGAGCAAAGAATGCCAAGTGGCGTGTTGAGCAAAGAATGCCAAGTGGCGTGTCGCTTGGAAGGCCGCACCCAACCGGATGTGATCATGCGACAATCCTTGTGAGCCGCTAATGGCGCCGAGCCTGACTGCCAGACCGTCCCCCCTTCCATCTCCTCGCCTCTCCTTCGCCAAGGTGATTATCGCTGAACCTCTAAGCAATCGCTGCCCATCTTTGCTTGATTCCCTCCTGGTTGTATCCTCTCCTCCCCCTCACCGTCTTCCTGCAGAACCATCGCCTCCTCCTCGGCGTCAGGTGCGGCTCCGGCTCGCCCGGAAGCGGCGGTGACGACGCATCGCCGGTCGTCAGGGCGGCGGTCAGCGCCGTCACTGAGCTCATCAGGGCCCTCTCTCCCAAGAAGCCAAGGCAAGCTGTCGAAGCCGTCGACGCAGAGTCGGAGTCGCTTCGCAGCGTCGACGACGTGGTGGCTGTTCTTGAAGCCGACTACCGGCGTGCTTATTTCCTTACTGGTACGTGCTCTGCAGTATGGACACTGAATGATTTGCATTAGCATTTTTTTCTTCTTTTCAATGCGTGTGACAGTCAAAGGAAACTGAAGCAAGTTAATTTGCACATTCAGAGCAATTGTCTTTTGATTTTTGTGGCATTTGAGTAGCCAATGTGCTCAATACTGTATCGATTTCAGGGAACTTCACTCTGGGCATATATGCTGAAGATTGCTTGTTTGAAGACCCGACGATAAAGTTCCGTGGTATGCAAAAAAATGCAAATAACACTAGAATAGTACCTAGATCGATGCACCCTTATCTGCCAAGAACTAACTTTCGTATACCATTGTACTCCGTAGGAAGGTCTAGATACTCCCAGAATCTGGATTTGTTAGTGCCCTTCTTCGACAGCCCTTCGCTCCAACTTGAAAACATAGACAAGGTAAGTATTTTTTTTGCCTTCCCATGCAGTTTCGCTTTGCCTAATTATATTGTACATTCTCCGTTTCTAAATATAAGACGTTGTTGTAGTTCAATAGAAACAGAGGTAGTACCAGTTAATAAACTGCAAAAGGAATTGTGATGTACTCCCTCTGTAAACTAATATAAGAGTGTTTAGTGTCTAAACACTTATATTAGTTTACAGAGGGAGTATCAGATATGTGTCTCGTTTTTTAAGTACTTCTCATTTGTGCTAAACTATAAACATAAAACTATCTTCTTGTTTGGTTAATGTTGGCATTTGTGAAGTTTCTCATGGTATGTGGCTTACACCAAAGTTTGTTTAGCACGCGCTTTTTCACTACTCTCTGCACTCCTGAAAATCATGAATGCAGGGTTCGAGGGTCGACACAAAGTTTATCATAGCAACATGGACATTAAGGTGCCTCATCGACATCACATTATGATCCATCACGGAATACATTACTAGATATGTCTTTGTTCCTTCTGATCATGACCATTGTTTTTTACCTTTGGCTTTTGAGGCTAATGTTTCTGCACTACTTTCAGGACGTATTTGAAGCTCCCGTGGAGGCCCCTCATCGCCATAAGAGGGAACACAACATACGATTTAGATGAAGAATATAAGGTAGTAATTAAGGGGGATAAAATAAACCATGTAAACTCATTTCATCCATCCCTTATTTCACACTATCATTCAGATTTCAAAGGTTGCACTATGTTTCAGGTCGTTAGGCACGCAGAGAGTTGGGACGTCTCTCCGCTGGAAGCGATTGGACAGTTATTCATCTCGGCTCCAAAGCAAACGGGCAGCTGAGCTGGCAAGTGAACTTTGGAACAATTGATTATATCACAAAACCCACGGAAACCCACGACGAGCTTGTGTGCATAAGTAATTCTGCAGTTATCTCTACTATTAAAGGGGAGTTTGTAAGTCGTTCGTCTTCCTCCCATGGCCCCACCAATTGAATGATCTTTCCATGATTCTCGGTTTCTTTTTACCAACCGCAACCCCACCGAGTTCGGCAAGTGATGATTCAATCACGTCTTCTTTCTTTCTTAGGATGCTCATGTGATCGAGTGCCATAAAAACAAATTTGTCATCAACCGAAAATTGTCTCCAGCAGCCCGTGGATTCACAACCATACATGGCAAATCTATCTATCTACACCACATCAGACCTTTGGGAGGAAGGTTGGCCTGAACTAGGACATCTTGGCCATCCTGGTCCATGACCTCTCAAACCTTGAAGTCTATTTTATGAGCAGGAGATCAAGGATGCGGTGTTCGCTCTCTCCTCTGCCAATGCTCCAGGACCTGAGGATCGGAAACCCATCTGTGCATGGACTGCATCTTGCTGGATTTCCCTCTTCACGGACGATGTTGGTATTTTTGCCAACCCGAGCAAGGAAGAGCTCAATGCGATCTCCTCCATCTTTTCGGCCCTTGGTGATGTGAGCGGTCTGGTCACTAACCTATCAAAGTCTGAGATCTTCCCCATTTGTTGCCACGACATGGATCTACATGACATCCTCTCTGAATTCGCCGCCAAGATTGCTTCCTTCCCCAGAAGGTACCTGGGGTTGCCTATGCACTCTCGCCGCTTTTGCAATATCGATTATCAAGGCCTCATTGGGGTTACCCGATCAACAGGCCACGCGCACTTGTCGAGGCTGGGGAGGTGGGTAAGCTCAATGGAGTGCGCTAGCATGTGGCTCAAAGTGCGTGGGTGGCAACCATGGGCGACCAAGTGGGTGTTGGGCACCATGAGATGCGGGTGCAGACCTAGAGGTCGTCGGCTCAATCCCCATCCCCATGGATGCCCATGTGACTTTGAAATACTCACCTCCCTCAAGAGGTGTTCCTCCACGCCAACCAACTAAAATCCCACGAGCGCGCGATTCCTTGGTGCCCAGCACCACGCCAACAAAGTGATGAACCAGCGAGAGTTGGTCGGAGGAGTTGGGTAAAGAACATGAAATTTTTAGCTTTGGTCATTTTGCATAACTTTTAGAGACAAGTTAAACCCTAAACTTTTTTTTAACTAAAATGGTACACTTAAACCAATTAGTAGACTAAAGTGTGCAGTTTTTAAGTTAATGAACGAAAGTGTGCTTTTGTGTGAGTTTATGGAACGTGGAGTAACTAAGCATTTCACTCTTATTAGGGCTTGTATAATGTATGGTGTTTAGAGAAGGTGCTTAGAGAAACAGTCTCCTCTTAAGAATCAATGCTTATTTGTTGAGGATAGACACTTAATTAGACACTTATCCTGTCGAGATAAGCACCAATGCCTAAGATAATCGGCTTATTTTACTGAACATTATACAAGGCCGTGGAAGATTATGGAGAAAAGAGGGACAGAGTCAAGCGAACAACGATTTGCTTTGGTCATTTGCAGAAACCACCCCCATAGAAACAACTTTCATGGGTGCCATCCTTTACATACACACGTGTCCGACAAGAAATTACAGCAACGACCTTTTTTTTTACCAAAGCGGTACACTTAATAAACCAGTTAATAGACTATAAACTGTGTGATTTTTTAGTTCATGAACTGAATTGTTTATCCACCGTCAATTTAGTTCATCCACCGTTAGTTTATGGGCTGATGAGGCATTTCACTGTTAGAGAGGGGGAGGGACATATAGTCAAGCTGACAACGATTTCTAAAGCGCAAAAGGTCCAACTAGATGACACAAGCCCGGCCAAGTGGCGGCAGCTCGAAACAACAGCCAGCAGAAAAAATCAACGCAAAATCGCGTCTTTTCGCAAACGAAAACCTCCCAGCACCGGCAAGAACCGGGGGATCGTCCCTCCCCTCCCTCTCCCCCCACCCTCCTTTCCCACTCCAATCCAGTCACGTCGCCCTCCATCTCCTCCGCCCCTCTTTCCAAGATTCTCCCCACCATCGCCAAAAAGATCGGCGGCGAGACGAGAGAGGGAAAGGCCGGCCGGCGAAAAGGGAAAGCCAAGCACCCTGCAAGGCGCAGCTCGGTGCCGTGAGCGGAGAGGAGAGGCCGGTCCGTCGATTGATCGATTCCGTTTCCATATCGCTCCCCGGACCCCGAGATGGGATTTTGGTGCCGGATTCCTCCCGCTTTCTTTATCTCCAGTTTGGTTCTTCTTGCTATATCCCTCGTGCGGTTTCCAGCTTCCGCCTGAACTTTTCGTCGTTATAGAGGCTTCGCTTCTGCCGTCCTTCCGCCTCTTCAATCTCGCAGTCCAACCTCCGGCCGTTAGCTGTGTTCCTCCGATTCCAGAGCAGCTCGCCATTTTCGCCGGAGACTGCTGCTGCTGTCGTCCGACATACTCTGTTCTTGATTCCAATTTCTTTTCCGGGCCGGGCGACTCTGCTGTGCAACTTGCCCACTGACTGCACACAAAGTGATTGTTTCTTGGCATAATTCTGGCACAAATGGACGACGGGGTGGACCTCCCGAGCCAATTCCTCTTCCCGCACCCGGAGATGCCCGGCGCCTTCAGCGACCTCCTGGGCGACGCCGCCGCGACCTGCACCCACACGCACACCTGTAACCCTCCGGGCCCGTCGGCCACCACGCACACGCACACCTGCCTGCACACCCACACCCACCAGCTCTTCGCCGCCGGCAGCGAGGACGACGACGCGGCGCGGCCCGCCGGCCGCTGGGGAACCGGGAGGCCGTGCGCAAGTACCGGGAGAAGAAGAAGGCGCACGCCGCGTTCCTGGAGGAGGAGGTCAAGCAGCTGCGCGCCGCCAACCAGCAGCTCCAGCGCCGGCTGCAGGGCCACGCCACGCTTGAGGCCGAGGTGGCGCGGCTGAGGGGCCTCCTCTTCGACGTCCGGGCCAAGATCGACGCGGAGGCCGCCGGCGCTTTCCCGTTCCAGAAGCAGTGCAGCGTCGGCTCCGTGGCGTGCGCCGACCCGACCCTCTGCTTCAACAATGGCAACTCTCAGGTCGGTGGCGCCTGCTGGGAGGACAGCTCCGGGCCGGCGGCTGCGGATTACAGGTTCGATGAAGACGGCAATGGCAATGGCGGCGCGTCGCGGGAGATCGATGCTCCGGAACAACCGGTGCGTTCCATGGATGTCGTTGAGCTCTGCTGCTTCCCTAGCTGAATCTATGAATGTGATCAAGGATTGTTTCGGCAGTTGTTGCATGAGAGTTGTTTTACATTTTTGGTGAAAACACACTCTCATGGAATGAAAGGGCGATCAGTGAGTATAACTGATATGATGTTCTTATGTTTTGATACTATGCTTATATTCATATATAATAGCAATAGAAGGAGGTTACAGTTATACTCAGGAGGATGTGTTCTGGTACAAAATTGTAATGCCAATATACGCTTGATCTCTGAACCTCCGGTTTGGGTTCGTTAGTATTCAGGCAATCGGATGGGACCATGATACTGATAAAAAAATGCACCGTCTTCGGTTCTTTCTCGTTGTTCCATATCAATTTCTTAGTTAACTTTAGCATCGATCCAGAAAAGTTCTTCCACACATAACCTGATGATACAAGCCTCAAGCAAAACGGAGTGCTGTTTTTGTACATTGTCTGCTTTCGTATCTCCTGGTGCAGATAGAGATAATGATCTAACCAATGGGATTAAGAATGCTCGGTATAAGTATGGAAATGCGGGGCTTAATATTTTGTGGAGTATAATTCAAGAGGCGCACTTTTCAACCTCTCCTTTTCCTTTTTCTTGTTGGCAAATATAACAACTGAATAGCATCTGAATCTTTCTAGCTTCACTACATTTTTCTTTTTTGCGACGCCATTCAGAGACGCCATTATTTCTTTCCGACGGCGATGTAATGGATCATCTGGGAAAGGTGCCATTCAGGTTAGCATTCGGACAATCAGACGGGGCGGTGGTACTGATAAAATGCACTGCCTCTGGTTCATTTTCCCCTTTCTTTTTCTGAAAGAGAGCTCCCTGCATTTTTCCTGTGAACAAGAGCTGGTAGTGCTAATGATGCAGAAATGTTTGGCACTTGACATGGCTGTGATCAGTGCACTATATGCTTGCTGTTCACTACTACTCCCTCCATTCCTACGTATAAGTCTTTTTAGAGATTTGAATATAAACTACATACGGATATTAGAATCTCTAGAAAAACTTATATTTAAAAACGAAGGAAGTAGTAGCTTCTCATGTGAGGAACTGCCGTAGGTCAATTCATTCAAGCACAATAAAACGGGTGTGTGGGTTTCGAGATGGCTCCTCTTCCCTCTCTCCCTCCCCACCCTTCCTCCCCTTCTCCTCCTCGGCTCGGCAGATCTGCGCCCCGCCCTTCCCCGGTGACTGGCGTCCGGTCGCCCTCACCTTCAGGTGTAGCTCCCCCTTCCCTATCCTCCCCTGTTTCTTCGCAGGTGGATCCCTCCCCTTCCCTCTCTTCGCTGCCGGTTCTTGGATCTCGTTTTTGGGCGCTGTTGTCGGATGAGGAGGACTCGCGGTCTCTGCCTTCCTCCCCCGGTGGTGCGGTGGCCTGCATTGGGGAGGTGGCGGTCGCCTGCGCCGCCCCTCGCCCTCGTAAGTTTGCCCCCGGGGGTCGGGGCCGGCCGTTGGGGGTGTCTCCGTCGGCCGACGGCTGGTTCCGGGTCTCGCGGCGTCGGCGTAGATCTGGTAAGTTTGCGTCCACGTCTCCTGCGCTTGGTGTCTTGGGTCGTGCTCCTGATGGGGAGCTTGGAGGCTCTCCATCTCCCTCTCCGTCTCCGGCTGCGGGGGCTCCGTCGCCGGTGGTGGCGGCGGCGGGGCCGCTGGTCGCTCCGTGTTCCCTAGATCCAGATCTCTGTGTAGTGGCCGCCGGTTCGCGGGCCAGCTCCCCGTGTGGGCCTGCTGGGCCTGTCGGGGCG